AAAAAAAAAAAAAAAAAAAAAAGCAAGCTTGGATTGAGATCTGTACAACTGTTATTTTCCAAAGTTCTGTTCTTTCTAGTTTCACCTCTTTGACTGCATCATATGTGTGTTTCTCTATCTGTGATTGCAAATTCAGTTTCATATTTTTTTTAATCGACTGTGGGAAAACTGAATGAGAGAACTTTTGTTAATGAAGCTGAAGGGAGGAACAATGGTAAGAGACCACGAAATGGTCCAGGAAGAAATCAATGCATGGGCGGTAGAGCTGAAAACTCGAAAGGTTTTGCTCCCAACAGCTTTGACAGAGTCCTTCTTGACGCTCCTTGCTCGGCCCTCGGTTTAAGACCTCGACTATTTGCTGGGGAGGTAGAATCACTTCAATGATTAACTGAATGCATGTTTATGTGTGTATCTGTAATGTTTGGTTGAGAAATGGCTTTGTACCATCTAATTTCTTTTCAAAATTATGCTGGTGTGTAATTCATTCACTAAAGCCTCGATGATTGGAAACTTGAGATTGATATATTGTCTTTGCCAGGAAACCCTTGCGTCGTTGAAGCACCATGCAAAGTATCAGAGGCGCATGTTTGATCAGGCTGTCCAATTAGTCCGGCCGGGTGGAGTCATTGTATATTCAACGTGAGTATGCAGCACTATACTTTTTCTTGTTTGTTGTGTGCCACAAGTTAATGCAATTTGGATAGAACGTCTGCTTTTGAACTAAAATAGTTGCCACCCTTCAAAGAACATTCTTTGAGATCTCGCAGTCATGGCTATATTTTATTAGTTAATAAATGGGAAGGGATGATAGGATCTTCTAAGATAGGAATAACGACGTAGAGGAGGTTCGGGAAATTAATCGTTTCAATGTTTTTACTTGGGCCAAACTCGCTATCCATTTTCCCCCTAAATTATGCTATCAACTCAGGAGCTCTTGTAATTTTGTGGCAACTGTTTTAATAAACGGGTTGTTTGGTCCTTCCCATTACGTTATACTGTGATCCACCCCACTAATACTCCTCGCGAGGCTTTGCTCACACCCCAAAATTTTCTGCTTCTAGTTTACTTTTTTATTTTTTATTTTTTTTAGATCAAATTATTCTGAATTTTGTTGTCAGTATATTCAACTGAAGTTTTTGTGTAATACTTTTACACTGCCAGCTGTACGATAAACCCCGGTGAGAATGAAGCTTTGGTACGATATGCTTTGGATACGTACAAGTTCTTAACCTTGGCACCACAGGTTAGATAGCACATGATTATTGCTTCCTTCCTATCCCATTAACCTTGGCACCACAGCTTTGCTGCTCTTTCTGCATTCACTCACTTTGAACAATCTAATTTATCTGATTGACATTTACCTTTGCAACCTTATGATATTTCAGCATCCAAGAGTTGGAGGACCTGGCCTTGTTGGTCGTTTTGAGTTTGCTGATCATTCTGTGGAGTAAGTGCTTTGACTTAGTGTTATTTTTGCGCTCTCCCCTTCACAATGAAAAATTAAATATCTATTGTTCACAGAACTTTTTTGTCTCTATACATATAACCTGTTTAAGGGATTAATTAATCTAGATTTGGATACTTAGTGAAATCAGTACCTATTTAGAGCTAAAGATTTGTTCTGGAATCACCTGAAATTGTACTAACCAAGCATTCAAAATCAAATCATAGAAGGCTTAACCTTGACAAAATAAAGTAGATAAATGTATTCAACTCAAGCCAAAAGAACCAGTACTCACGATAATAGTTGTATGGCTTTAAATACATATACAAACAAGTAAAAGGATCTTCCTTGATTCTTCTCTTGCCTTGTGATTAGTAATTTCACCAACTTTAAGAACAAGGGTTCGGTTTAAACGATTACAAGTAAAAATCTATGATGGAAATAAGAATTCTAAGTAAGATTCGATTGTCTAACTTCTTGATCGAGAGTATGTCTTAAGTAGCTTAGTATTTGGCACGATACTAATGGGAGAAGGGTAAAGAAGTTAAAAGAGAAAATGTATTGGGAGCTAGAAAAAAAGTGGTCGTAGATATAGATAAAAATGCAAAAAGAGGATGAATAGGGGGAGATCGTGAAAGATGAAGATAAAAGTTCTTAATGATTTTAAGAGCCAAATGTAAATGACATTTTATTGAATGTTTTGTGCTTGGTTTTGTAGGGAATGGTTAAGACCTGGCGAAGAATACCTTGTTCAGAGGTTCGATCCATCATCGCCTCTCGACACTATCGGATTTTTCATTGCTAAGTTTTCGGTTGGCTCCAAAGATGCTGAATAGTGGTGATTGATACTAGGGTCGACATTGTTGTTCTAAGTTAATATCCAACTTAGTGTTGTCAGAGTTAGATGAATACAATTGTTCTTGACAACTTCTCAATTTATTAATTTTAGTTCCCATACTTAGCATCTAATACTTTTATTAATTTATAATTTATTAGTTAAACAAAATTATATTTTGATACTTTCCTATACCAATAGAAATAATTTTTATTGGTGGTTTATTCTTGGAAATATTTATTTTATTAGTATGAACCATCAAACTTTTGTTACTTCAATCTTCAATAACTTTCGTCTAGTTGGTTGGCGTTTTTTTTATTGCTTTTTAATTTCTAAATTTTTACTTCTTAAATTACAATTTTAATCATTATAAAACACGGTAATTTATTGAATTAAAAAATATGTGCTTGGTTTATCCATAATAAGGAGGATAATAAACAAGGGTTGAACATTTTTTAAAAAAAATAAAAAAGGTTAATTACAAAAACTAATTTTAAAATTTATTAAGAATACAATAATTAAAATAAAGTAAGCCTTAGTTTGAGTTTATACCATTTAGAGTTTGTGGTGGCTGTAATAAATAGGTTAGCTCGAGATTTCAATTGCCGAAAATTGTTTGAATTTATATAATGTAGAGTTTAGAGTTTCTTAAATATGTACGGTGCCGTAATAAATAGACTAGCTTGAGATTTCAATTGCTGAAAATTGTTTGAATTTTTATATAGTCTAGAGTTTAGAGTTTCTTAAATATGTACGGTACCGTAATAAACAGGCTAACTCGATATTTCAATTGCAGAAAATGTTTTACTTTATGTAGTCAAGAGTTTGAAGTTGGTGTTTAGATTAGGACTAAATCCTATTTAGAGGATTGGATTTGATTTTGTTTTGTTAGTTTTTTTTCTATTATTATTTTTAAAGACTATTATAAAATTTTTTATTTTTTAAAACTCAAATTATACTATGTTCGCTCCATTATTAGCGACATCAATTTTAATAACATTAGCTGAAGTACAGAATAAATACTCCAAATAAGAAGCATGTTGTTTAAATAAACTACATAATCTTCTAGTCTTTTTCTAAACAATTTAAAAAGAACTATCCATGACTAAACCTATAAGTTATTTTAAAATGATTAAATTTCAAATAAAATAACATATATTTATGTTATTTTAATATAAACTAGTTTAGAATGAACCTACATAAACATTTTTTAGTGTAGGTAATTTAAATATTAAATAATTTCTGTACTAGTCTATATAATTAATTTAAAATTATATATTATATTTTTAATAAGTTCAAAATAAAATACCATTTATTTATGTTATTTTCAACTCAATATATAACTAAATAAAAGTAAAAATAAAATATAACTTGATAGAAGTAAAAATAAAAATGGTAATTTTAACTCTTTCTTTGTCCTCCACCGTCTTTCTTGAAATTAATCATTTAGATAGTGTTGGTATCTAAAATACAAACAAGTTCTTATCCCAATAAGGAAAAGAGATTATTTATAACAAGTTATCCATAGATTACACATTTCGCTTAAGACTAGAATCGACCGTTAAAGATGAGATTGCATTTATTGGGATACATGACACAAAAATATTCTTTAATATTCTTTAAAAAATTGCACCTCCAAAAAAAAGTAGAAGGGCAGAGAGACTTATAGAAGAAAGAGAAACCATAAATTTGGAGTTGAGTTTGGAGTTTGGAAGGTTACCAAAATCCAAACCCATAACCAAATGTATCCCCATTAGCAATTTACAGATAAGCTTTTTAATTATTTTTCCATAAGAATTTGATTACTAAGTAGATTCCCTCATAAAATAAAAACTTCCAAACTAAGCACTAATCGATACATTTGCTTTGTCAATTGAACTTGGTTACTTTCTCTAAGAGGGCTTTTTAATAATTACTTGTGAGAATCCAAGGCATCATCATCCTATCTTACATTAGCTAATGACAAGATTTAGCTTAAAAGGGTAGGTCTTGATTTATAAGTTAATAACAAGATTTGACAGTACACATAAACTCAAGAGATATCAGATGAAGAATTCAACAGAAAACAGCTGATTTTGTTAATTTAAGTTACTTTCAGACCCAACATTATTCGGTAAGATGATAAGAAACAGTAAGAACTATTTAGAAAACTTATGAAACTGATGAACGGATTCATGTTGTTTTATGTTTGAGTATGGTACCTTATGAAGATATTACATTGGCTTTGATGTTAGACTGAATGGGTTGGTTCTGCAACTCGTTTGGCTTCAAGAGTCTTCTCGTATTCCTCAATGGATTTGAAGAGCTCCGAAAAGTTGCCTTTTCCAAAGCCCCCACACCCTCCTTTCTGATATTCTTTCCCCTCTTCGTTCTTCATCATGCATCCCACCCTCTGAATTATCTCAATAAATATAGTTGGCCTGCGCAAATTATGTATAACAAGTTATCAGCTGTGAATAAATATCTGTAAGACATATCAACACGACATTCTAATCAAGATCTATATCCAAATTAATGCTCATAGGTTCGAAAAGAAGCCGTGATTAGCTAATGTATTATAAACTCGATAAAAAAGTTAGAGGTGTGAATTCTAGTCACTAAAAAAAATTCATAGAATTCTTGGTGGGAGGTTCGAATTCCCACCCTCATGCACTGTTCAACTGAAGAACCCAGTGGATTCTTCCTTCCTTCTGCCTGGACGTGGAGAGCAGCATCCATTTTAGTTTTAAAACATTGAGGAAACCTCGAAAGAGAAAGATCAAACAGGATAATAGCCAATAGTAGTGGGCTTGGACCGTTACAAATGGTATCAGAGTCGAACACCTGCGACGTGCCAGCGAAGAGGCTATGTCCCAAAGGGGTGGGGTGGATACAGGGTGGTCATTGGTCCTGAAAGGAGGTGGATACGGGGATTCTGGTGGATTGGGGTCTCCCATCGATTGGACCCTGAAGGACCATGGGCTTGGACCTTTACACAGATGGTTGCTCCCACCCACAGAAGCGATCATCCATGAATTTGGAGAAAGCAGGACAATTCTAAAGTAATTTTTGCAGCGCAATAACGTATAGAGGAGGATTCAACAATGGTAAGATCAGAGGCTATAACTAATCAAAGAGTACGAAGATGTATAATGGCAAAGATCAGCAAGAATATGAAGTAGCATTATGGCTAGCAGAAGAAACAACGCCATGGTTTTCTACAGAAGCAATGAATTACGCACCTATCTCCCACAGGTTTGGTGAAGATCTGAAGCAGAGTTCCTTGGTCATCCCTATCCACCAGAATCCCCAATTCTTCACACTCCTTAATTTGATCATCCGTTAGCACATCTCCCGCCCTGCTCTTCAGATTCTTGTAATACGTAGGCGGTGGCGACGGCATGAATTCGAATCCGCCGACGCCACTTCGCTTCCTCATCTCCCTCAAGGTTCTGAAAATGTCCTCGCTCACCAATGCCAAGTGCTGAACTCCTGCTCCTTCGTTGTGCTCCAAATACGTCTGTATTTGACTCTTTCGCTTCGTTCCGTAAACCGGCTCGTTCAATGGTAGCAAAACCATTTCCTCATTGTTCGCCAGAACCACCGAGTTCAATCCGCTCTCGCTCGTCCCCACATCCTCCGCTGTGAACTCTGCAAACTCGTGGAATCCAGTGAATCCCTTCAAGTAAGATACTATCGGTCCCAACTCCGGCACGTTTCCGACTGCATGGTCCAGTCTACGAATCCCGAAGTCCAGCGGATACGAAGCGATCTCCTCCATGGCCTCGAATTTCGGCAAGAACCAATCGTCTGGTTTATTCTCGCTATCATCGCCAGAAACAGGGTTTTTGTAGCTAATGTAACGCAAAACAACGTCGCCGTACAAATGAACTTCCGAGAGAACAGCGCGATTATCGAGAACAATAGGAGGAGACGAAGGTTTCGCACCATGTGCGACGCTAGTTCTGAAGGCGATCTCGGCGTCCTCAACCTCAAGAGAGATTGCTCGAACACCTAATCCATGGCTGCCGGAGAAGGCGCGGCAGGCGGCATGGTCAAAACTAGGGATTGAAGCGGTAGAAGCCGGACTGAGGTTTTCAGCAGCGGCAATGGAAGGCGAATAAGGTGCGGTGAAGAGAAAGCAAAGCAGGCCAGAACGAAGGAGATAAGAAGCATGAGTCAAATTTCCAGTGGACAGATCCGACTTAGCCACAATCGGCATACCAAGTCCCCAAGAAAATCTCCGAGCGGTGTTCGTAGCATCCGTACACCAGTACTCAATGTGATGGAACCGCTTAACCTTAAACCGATCCGATTTCGGATTCGTTCTAACAAAGTTCTTAAATCCTTTGAGCTTGAACTCCGACTCGGCAGCGTTGACTCCCTCCGCCGTCGCCTCCGACGATGAAGCTCTTACATTTTCAGCTTCTTTCCCCATAGCTCTGCTTCTTCTTCCTCTTCTTTTGTTCGTGGAAATGGTGTAGAAATTCCGTGAACCAGAGGAAGATAATAAATACCGAAAACGGGGCTCAGCTTTTTTGCCACGTGGCCACTTATGACTGGGTCCGTTTTTCCGTATTAGTCACGTTGACATGTGGACTCCGTTGTCCGTTATTTGATTAGGTAGATGACGTGGCGAGTCTATCGAGAAAAAAAAAATAATAAAAAAGAAAAAAATATTTAAAAATTAGTTAGAAACTAAAATAATAAACGGCAAATAAAGGAATTATTTAATATTCTCGTGTATATCCGGTGGTGCGATATACGCTTCCAAAAAAGAATCACTGGGCGCGTGGGCGCGTGATGTCAGTGCCGTGACAGAGAAGCCTTACGTGTCCGTGAGCTGCATTGTTTCCGGCGAGTTTTATCTTTTAACTATTTTTTTTTTTTTTTGTTATTATTGGAAGTTACTATTAATTGTATTATCAAACATATCTTAATTTCTTAATTTTTTTAAATAAATATTTTAGTTATATCCTCAAAATTAAAATAATATGATACATGTTTTAAAAATATTCTCAGACAAACTATTTAATTTTTAAATAATTTATTTCCAAGACTCTCTCAATCTTCCAATTTTTTTTTTTTAAATTAAAAAAATTATCTTATTTAGAAAAAAGAACTATAAAAGTGTTATTAACCTACCTTTTTTCTAAAAGACAACTTGGGTGTTATATTGACTACACTCGTAAAAACAACTTGAGTGTTATTGACCTACACTCGTAAAGACAAGTTGGATGTGATTAACATACACTTTTGAACTTGAGGGAAGTGTTGAGATATTATATTTTGATAATATATTATTTATGAAATATATTTTAGATATTATATCTTAATATTTTTTCTTTTATGATTTGATTTATAATGTATTTTATTTTATTCGAAATATTTAATTAATTTATATTTTCTTTATTTGTACGTATTAGTCGCTATCTTGTAACCTATTTAAAACTTATAGCTAGGTTATAAGATACTTACTAATACCTACATATATAAACTAATTAAATATTCAGAATAAAATAAAATATACTATAAATCAAATCATAAAATAAAGAATATTAAAATATAATAGCTAAGATATATTCCATAAATAATATATACTCCAAATATTATATCTCAACTCTCCTCTTTAAGTTGGAGAGATATAATATCTAATTTCATAAATAATATATACTCAAAATATTATATTTCACTGAACTAATTTGAAAATAATTGGTATGGATATTCTTGTTTTTTTTAATATATATATATATATATATATATATATATATATATATATATATATATATATATATATATATATATATATATATATATAT